CTGTATACATGATGAGATTAGTTATAGATTTGTATCAAGATGATATTAATTTTGAACTATCTATTATATTCTGTATAACCACCTAAGTGTAACAAATCACCTCTTAATTTTCTATTTGTAAACTAATTTAAGACTAGCTACCATTAGTTATAGAAGGGGAAAGAGGAAGCCCAATATAAATATATTTTTATCAAATATTTTATAAAAATAAATTTAATATATATAATATAATTTAAAATTTTCGAATTATGTTTTTAAAATTTCAGATTATAGTTTCAAAATTTTGGATTATAGTTTCAGTTTTGGGGTTTCAGTTTTTTTTTTAAAAATCTGAAACTAGTTTCGGGTAGGTTTCGTTTCGAGTACCAACTTTACTGTAGGCGAAATGGTTGTCAGCGAAATTGGTTTATACCATATGAATCTGATGAATGAATGTTGGAATAAGAATTCAGAGAAACAACCATCAGTAGAAAACTTTGTGAAATCTTCAAGAAGTGGCAGGAAAATGAAGATATTTTGTTGGAATTGAACGAATCAGAAGCAACACCTGACCTTGTTGAAGAATCATATGTAAATATGTTTAGCGGAAGAGCGGAGGTAGCAAGTTTATTTTTTATACTGTTAACGTTATTAATGATAATTAATTATAATACTTTTGCATGTATTTATTTATTATATGAATTACATTGATGAATACAAATATTGCTTGTGGGTGTAATCTTTTTGGAATACTCGGATTTCAAATCAGTCCATACTTAATTTTTATATATAAATCGATAAAAAAAAATTAATATATCATTCGTTCTCGATTTTAAATATGTATCTTTTAACTTTAGACATCCTTTTATATAAGGTTTATATAACAGTTGTAAATAAAATTTAAAAGGAGCTTTATTGTTATCACAACATATCCTTTATTTGACATGTAATCAGATATAGAGGTCGATCCGATGAATGGATTATCCAGATATTCAATGAATATCCAAATATCCTGATACACAATTGGTCCACCAAATTGAATATCGAATATGCCGATTATGATAACATTCTCTAAACAAAAAAAAAAAATTCTTTGAAAATTTTAGTATAATTAAAAGTTTAGATGATGTATATGAAATTAAAAAGCAATTCTTAGGTGCTGATAAATAGTCAAAGCATTGCCTCGAAAACAGTAAATCTTTGTTGTAATCTAATTATTGAATTTAAGGATTGTTTGCTATTGATATATTTAAAATGTTATTCAAGTTCATTGATACACTATATTTTAAGATTATATTAACATATGGAATGTTTCTTAATCAGTATAATCAAATAAATTATTCATATTCTATATCTTAATTCTATTTTTTTTAATCGAATTCATATTATTTTAAACACAGAAAAAATCGAAATGAATAAATAAAAAAATAATACAGTTCACCCCCTTATACAGGACTCTGTTATAGCGGATACCTCGTTACAACGGAGTAATTCTCTAGAACACTTTAAAATTATTATAGAACAGGGTGAAACCTGAGTTGCGAAATAGTGAAATCTGATATGATCATCACAGTGAAATCCGCGGTTTATTATGTTTTTTATTATATAAAAGCGGATTTCACCCTTGTGTGATGATCATAGCAGATTTCACTATTTCGCAACTCAGGTTTCACCCTGTCGTATTATTATTATAATGCTATATAACGCTATATCGGATATTCATTATATCGGACAGAATTTCTCAACCCGATCATTATTATGTAACGAGAATAGACCGTAATAAGTATGAAATAATAATAAAAATAAAAACTAAAATATGAAGAATCGAAAAGACAATTTTAAAATATTAAGAATCGAAGACAATTTTATTTATAATATTAATATATTTAATTCTGCAATTTAATGAAATGAAACAAATACAAATCACCACGGGGATTATGATAAATGACTCGCAAATCAAATTACTAGAAATTCCTGGGTATTAAAAAATTGAACAAATGAATATCTGAATCTTTATTTTAGAATTAGAATTATCGCACTTTTCAAATTACTGTGTCCACTGATTTTCATACATCACACCGGAAATCAAATGCAAATCTGTGATTGGTTAAAAATAAATTTTAGCTAATCACGTATTGGCATGATTCCCAGTGTGATGTATGAAAATCAGCGGACACAGGAATTTGAAAAGTGCGATAAATTTAATATTATAACTTTATTTTTTGATTTCAAATCTATACATGTAACAGGTGATTAATTATTACAGATTATTTTAAGCAAACAAATAATATTTAAATAGTTATTGTAAACAGTACAAATTTATAAACCTTAATAGCATTTTAAAACAGATAAATTAATTCTTGTAAATAGTCAAACAAAATCAAATAAAAAGCAACTGCATAATTATAAAGATTTATGACTTTAGTGTTATTTAAACATTAATTAATAGATGATTTTTATAATAGCAATTGTTGCTTAGTGTATCATAATCGCATAGTGTGCCTAAATATCCAATTACTGCGCTTTTCAAATTACTGTGATCGTCAGATGATTGTCCATCACACGGAAATCTGTAAAAATTCCCAAAAATTCCAAAGATTCCTTGTCAACTTCCGATTCTTTGGTGTATTATCCATTAGTGTACTATATCTTGTGATGCTCAGATCAGAAAACACTCAAATTTTTTTTTTTTTACCTAAATTTTCTCAAACTTCAAGTTAGTTTATTTTGATAATAGCGGGTTGTTTTCGATATTCGAAGCTATTTTCAAATTCTACAGACTAGTAGGATTCGAAAATAATCTTCTACAATGAAATTAACCGGGCTATTGTTGAGAAATCTTCAATTAAATTTTAAAAATATTTAATATACATAATATACGCAAAAACATTTGGCTAGCATAATTTTTAGCCAATCACAGGTTTGCGTTTTAATAGGTTTCCGATTCCGTGATGTGTGATGTATGAAAATCACTGATCACAGTAATTTGAAAAGCGCAATAAATTAAAGACCTATGCTAAACATGATAGGATCAAACAAATAAAAATTTTAAATGAGCTTTGTAATTTACTGCTATAGCGATGTATCGCTACCCCCGGTCTATGTCAAAAATTCTGAAAGACAAAATTCCGAAAGTCAAAATTCCGAAAGTCAATCCCGAAAATCAAATCCCGAAACTTAATTGTCGCCGCTTATGGTTAGTAATATATATTACTAATCGTAAGCGGGTTGAGTATTGGAACCCCGACATCACACGACGTGACCATACATCGCTATGACAGCAAATTACAAACTTCAATTTAGAGCACAGAGGAAAACCTAACAGAACATAATTTAGTAAAATGGCTTTCGGTACGTACTAAAATCCGATCCGGACTGTTAAAGTAAAAAAAAAATTTACTTGATATGGCTTAATCTACTACCATTCTTAAAATGAAGTTTTTTTTAAAGGTATTATTAAATTTTAGGCTCATGTGAAATGTAAGTTGTACAGTTCCACAATCATGGTAATTACAAATAAGGTATATCGCTTTTTAGTGAGCTTCATTTTTAAAGTAAACTGATCGACCAGATAGTCAATATTGAATGTACATTCAATATATACCAAAAATAAAAAAAAACGGCGCATTTAAATGGAGGCTTTCTCCTTTATATGGCTGTGCGCATATATCTCATCATTTTAGTTTTGTTTTTTACGCATGTGTTTGGATACAGGGTCTCCTGAATTAGTTTCTACATGAACAATCACCATAACTATAACATGTTAAATCCGTGGTTATCAAAACAAGGAAGAAAGATCCGCGTGGCGGTGTGAATATCAATATAGTTATGATGGAATTTGAACTACGAAAGATAAATATATATATATAAAAAAGGATCGTTACAAAAACTATTTACTTCACCGGTTTTATTCTTTTACGATGAAATATTTAGGATTTGTTTTGGTAAAATTAATAGCATTGATGAAATAATAATTATAATGATGACTATGATAAAAGAAAAAATATTAAATGCATCTTTACATCACGAATTTTAATTGTCACGAAAGGTACTTAAAATAAACAAGTTTTAAAACAAACCAGAAATATTATTAAACAAATAAAATCAACACGAAAGTAAATATATATCACGCGACAAAATCAAACCGATTTAGATGATTCGATCTATCCAACGCTTTATAACGGTCGTAATAATATTGATATTTGTACAATCATATCAATGTTGGGGACAAACAAATATACCAAATCTAGTTATTACCGAGAAAAGTTACTTTGATTTTAGTAGTGGCCAAGGTATGGACGAAATAACCTCTTTCGATATAATAGTTAAAAAAAGCACTAATCGATAGATAAACGTTATAAAGTCACGACAGGGACAACATATATAGCTGGTTGTAGCACCTTTGAAGATGGTTCTCTTCGCCTCTTTATAGTTAGGAAAGGAGTCAACGCAACGAATCTTTTACAAAAAATCATATATTCTAATGGAACAGAAGCAAATATACCACTTGACAATTGGGGTCTTCCCATGGGTATACAGCCAAATACTTTATCACCTATATCCAATACCAACGTACTATTCGCCTACGCGAACGGAACAAAACAAATACCTGATCCGAGTAATCCGATTCAAAAAGATACTTGGGCTGGGATCGCGGACGAAAAAGGAAACTTAATAAAAAGCGTGTTGTTGATGGAGAATAATCAATTTACTAGCGTTGAAGGATTTGGAGTTAATAATACGGCACATCAATTGGTAGCAAATGGAGATAACTTTATTTATGTGAGTATCTATGTTAAATACTAGTTTTATAATAGGTTTATGATTATGAATTACCTTTTATTTAGTCTAGAGTCTTACTTAAGCTTATAAATTTTATTGATGAAAATATTGATTAACAGGTATTTTATTATGACATGGGAAATTCTTGCGAAACGATAAAATGGAAAGTATATAATAATGCAACGTTGATAGGTAGTAACACTTATAATATTACCACAAAAGAAGGCTGCGTACGTTCTTATAATGCTCAAGCCGTAATGAATGGTGGTTTCCTGATAGCATGGTCCGTAACCACGACACCTTCAAATTTTACTGACCCGACATCACCGCCACAAACTCAAAGCCAAGTATACGCTGTATTCATTAAACCGAACAGCGCAGAAGTTAAGACATCACCATTTGTTATATTTTCAGGAACCACTGCTACAGAAATTAAGATATTGGCATGTGCGGGATCAAGTATTGGGCAAGGATTTAATTGTTTCTTGCAATTAATGATGAATGATTCAGCTAATGGAATTCAGCCCTACCAAGTTACATTCTTATCAAGTGGGATGGTTCACAATGTCGTACCACTTAGATCTAATATTACTAATAATAGAGCTATTTTTGGCAATTTCCTGGATTTGGCTGCTGTTCCTTTACGGTAATTACATTTCATTTTCGTAACTTAGTATTTATCTACGTACAAGAGCATCAGAATATTTATTATGTGCACGCATATATTCTTTATAAAGTTACGGTGGATTTCTTTTAATTCAGAGCATTTTACGACAAAACCCACTTAATATTTTAAATCTCACTGGCTCGAACAGTATATTGGATCTATTTAACTATACCGGTGAATTACTGAAAGAACAGACAACGAATATAGTTTATACGGGAGCATCATGCATCTTTCCAAATAATACCGTAGTTTTTACAGGAATTCCAACAAGGTGGTCGGATCCTAGATACATGGGAGGTTATTCTATTTATACCGTTGATTTACCTAAATTTTACGATGATGGTAATTTTATCAAGTAAATAATACTGTATACCGAAATTCTCGAATAACGGGCATCTACGCGTTATTTCAAGTACACCAAACCCACGGGCATTATTTTGAAATAACGGTTCGATTTTTCTATTCATGAAGAATTTTCACGATTGACATAATTAGCAAAAGTTCTGCGATGATAATCTTCACGTTTGAATAAAAAAATTGTCTGCATGTTATACCCATGAAGTTCTATGCTATTTTTAATGGTGCACGATTTCGAAATAAGCCCATGCCATGCCCGTTATTTCGAGGATTTATGTAAAAAGTACAGCAAATAAGGTTTATAACTTCAATGCTAATTTTTAAATGTACAGATAACGGATATCAAAATCTCAACATCTTCTCATCATATCCATCCAGAAATGAAGCCAATGTTCCACTAACATTTGACTCGACATCATTTACTTTGAAACTCACGTACCGAGAATTAGTTACACTATCAGGCCGTGGTAGCATAAATATATATCAAAAAGGATATGATGACACTCCAAGATTAAAGATCATGAGTAGTTCAATAAAGCTATCTAGTGATCCTAATTCTTCTACTACTTTGTATATGAATTTGATTTCTAGTACTCTAAATTGTCCGGAAACCGAATATTACGTTACTGTGGATAATGGAGTGGTGCAAAATGCGGATTTAGCAGAACCTTTGCCCGGAGTTAAACCTAACGTTTGGAATTTTGTTACAGGTGAGCATGAGCATGCCACTTTTTATTGTTATGTGTATTTAATATGTTTGATGCCATTATGAATTTTTTTATAATTAATTCAGCCAAACAATCATCGTCGTATTCCGGTAAGTTATTATTTTGTTTACAATAATTTATGACATAAAAACCAAATAGTATATATATATATTTTTTAATAGGGGCAATTACTGTACTTCTTCGCTTCCAGCCCAAATCCCTTCAATTTTTTATTACGAATTCAACTGATGCGATCAAAAAAGTTCACGCAGAAATCTCAAACTTCCTTCCCGTAAATATTGAACGTCTCTCGACACCATACAATGCATGGTATTTCGATATGGGTGACGACCATGATTACATTTTATTACCTTTGCAAATTTCCCCCGGAGATTATTCATCTATCTCAAGTTTAAGACTATCATCCGATCTCGGAGATTTAATAAAAAATTCTCCAAACACGAATATAGCGAATGGAACTATTACGTCATTATTGGATTCTAACTATGGTGCTCCAATACAAGCAGACTTTTGGTCAGCAAATAAAATAGTGTTAATAGTAGCCGCTGTTATATTGATTGTGGTAATATTATTATATGCTGCGGCCGAGTATAGGGATTCTCATGCTAGGAATACTGCTGTACCACAATTTGCTTTGGTTTTAGCTGATTTTTCTGTTGGTAAATTAATTTGAATAGTATCGAATGATTTTATATTGATTATTATTTTCATTTCGTTTTCACACTCATTTATTATTGTATTTTTCATTTTCATTTTTTTAGGCATAATATTTTTAATCTCTCATTCCAAGGATGTTCCATTCCTATTTGTTCCTTCGTTAATTTTTTCAATTGTTCCTTTCACTTTCAATCTATTATGGTCCATATACATTGTGCTCAGGGAATCATTTACAAATACTGAATTTTTTAATTGGTTTAAACAGAACACTGCCGTGGCTTCCATGTTCACGGTGTTAGGGTTGACTGATGTTGAGGTTTTAAGTATATTGAATTCCAGGGCTGCTGGTATTAAGACGTTGCAGGCGCCTTGGAGCAAATGGGCTGGTATTATGATATTTATAGGAAGTCTAGTGGGCTTCTTTGTTGAAGATATACCAAAGTTTATTATTCAGGTTGATAAAAAAGATTTTGTTTTTTTTTTAAAAAAAACTTCATACTTATATTTATAAACATAATAAATATATAGGTTCTATATAAGTTAAATACTGCAAGTTATAGTGTCATCCCCTTCTTAACCCTCGTGACATCTTCATTGGTAATTCTTCATGCAATAGTAGGAAAGATGTATTTGGGTATCGCAAAATGGCGTCAATCTAAACGTCAATATGAACCTCCAAAAGGTGGTGAAGATGCTTGGAGAGAATTGATGAGTGAGGTTGAGCGATTAGCTAAAGATCATTTAGAAGAGTCAAAAGCTTCTATCGCTGCTGCTAAGCTAGCTGCTAAGAAAAAATCCATGAAAAAAGATGGTGGCGCGAGGGAGTCTTCAAGGGGTGGTCAAAGTAAAAATCAGAATAAAAGTGGAGAGAACTTGGGAGAAGCTGGATACGAGGGGGATAGAGATGAAGGAGGGAGAATTGGATACAGACAAGGAAGAGGTTATAGAAGTGTGAGCGTGAGTCCTACATATACTCCGACTGGACATCTTAGTCCAGGAAGAGTGAGAAGTGACAGAAGTGGAGATGTTAGCGAAAGTGAAAGAAATGGTGGGAGTGGAAGGGAAGAACATGGGATTGTATAATTGCTGGTCTATTATTTAATTGTTAAATATCAAATTATAGATTATTTTGTGCAGTACAGCAATAGTCGACATAAATACCGGAATTTTGTATGCATTAAATAATTTGAGAATAACCAGTTCATTATAGGGATCTGGGTCTGGGTCAAATCCCGACGAACAAAATCCCGAAAAGGTCATAATCCCGACAAGCTAGCCCGCATTAGCAGTTCTGGCCAATTTTTGTCAGGATTTTGTTTGTCGAGGTTTTGCGTGATTTAACCAAGACCCCATTGGAAGTAATTTTGACTTAAAGAATGCCAATAATCTTAGAATTCGTTGAATAGGATTTTATAAAATACCGCCATGACCAGTCCATAAAATCACGTGACTCTCTACCATGGATGGTAAATGACCCAAATGACCAAAATGACAAATGACTAGTCATTTGTCATTCCAGGGTCCAAATGACCTTAGAATGTCAATTTAGTTATTATTCTAATACCTTTTAACCAATCAGAATTTGCCGCCAAGCAAAATTAAAATTTAAAAAATATAATCAATATCATAGCTATATATCATTTATCGTTATGCTTTAAGTAAAGATGTTCGAGATAAATTGCATATGCTCTGAAATTTTGATATAATTGGAGAACATTTTATTATTTCACTTCTGCACCTTACATTATATGAATTTTTTCGTGTAAACGTAATATGCGATTTATTATTCCGAACAACTTTACTTAAGGCATAAATATTAATTGACTTAGTAAAATTTTAATTTTAATATATAGCTACAATTATCGATTAGAAAAGTACAACCAATAAAACTACATGGGCCTAACTTGGGCCCGTTAATATTTGGGCCGGGCCCGGGCTTTGTGAACAGGCCCAGCTAGGCCCAACGGGGCCTATTATAATAAAAAGAATTATCTACCTGTGATTACCCGTGATAATTAGGGTTGTTGCTCAATTCCCCAAAAGCTATTTAACCGACAGGTCACTTACCCGACATCACATAGGGTTAGGGTTAGCATTTGATTAGCTGCAGGTATATATTTTTAGCAAT